AGGTGTCAGCTGTTCACGGAGACCTGTGTGAGAGAGGAGACGGATGAGAGAGATGAGAGTGACAAGGGATGACAACTGATGATCCCCATGATTCCGGTTCTGGTTGGGAGATGGGAGGTAGGAGGTGGGAGATCAGAGATGGGGGGTGAGAGATGGGAGGGGAGAGTTGGGGGGTGAAGAGATGGGGGGTGAAGAGATGGGGGGTGAAGAGATGGGGGGTGAGAGATGTGAGGGGAGAGATAGGAGCGGAGATATAGGAGGGGAGAGATAGGAGGGGAGAGATAGGAGGGGAGAGATAGGAGGGGAGAGATAGGAGGGGAGATATAGGAGGGGAGATAAAGGAGGGGAGATATAGGAGGGGAGATATAGGAGGGGCGATATAGGAGGGGAGATATAGGAGGGGAGATATAGGAGGGGCGATATAGGAGGGGAGATATAGGAGGGGAGATACAGGAGGGGAGATAAAGGAGCGGAGATATAGGAGGGGCGATATAGGAGGGGCGATATAGGAGGGGAGATATAGGAGGGGAGATATGAGGATGGTAGTGGAGATACAGCCAGCCCTCCCACAGCAGCACACCTGTTTGGAGGGTCTCAAACATAGACGGATCCAGCTCAATCAAAAGCAGAGCATTCTAAGGCAGATGACAGTTCAACCTATATAGCTGGGTAGGTTGAAAGGGACAGTGGCTGGTGCAAGCATTGCCAGTCATGGTAGCAACGGCAGCAGCAGCAGAGGGGAGACAGGGGGCCGTGCCTCCTGCTGCAGCGGGCTCGATCAAACTTGGCTGAATGTCACTCAGAGGCAGACGAATCTTGTGCATGAGATACCACGGCTCACTCAAACACATTCTCACTTCCAAAGCATCTCACCTGGACAGCGGGCAGGTTGAAGGGAACAGTGGCTGGGGCGAGCATGGCCAGCCCCTCGAAATCCAACCCCTGAGAGGTGGCAGCAGCAGAGCGCGGAGGGGGGATGGTGCCTCCCGCTGTCCACTTGCCTGCTGCTGCCAGTGCAGCTCCTGGGAGGAGTGGAGCAAGTGAGAGAACGGACGTGAGGGATGGATGGAGGGAGTGAGGGATAGAGCGAGTGAGGGATAGCGAGTGAGGGATAGAGGGGGAATGGTGAGGGATGATGGCAATTGCGAGGGACGATGAGGGAATATGAAGCAGGAACGGAGCATCGTTGATGGACTGGGGGAGGGGGTGGGGAGGCGTTATACGCAAAAGACATATGAGTGCATGATGGTGAGAGTGCTGCTCTCACCTGAGTGCATGATGGTGAGAGTGCTGCTCTCACCTGAGTGCATGATGGTAAGAGTGCTGCTGGGGAAGTCAAAGTCCATGTCAAAGGCAGACAGGAACGACAGCCCCACGATCCCCGCCACCGATCCAGGCAGGCCCGTGTACTGCAGGTCCAGCACCACCGCTTGCATCGGCCCGAACCTAAACTTCCCGAGCCTCACGTCCGGCAGCAGCAGCTCCCGCCCCTGCTTCCCCTCCGGCCCCATGCCTCCGAGCCCCTGGGTCATCCTGCCCTCGTTAGTAGACAACCCGATAGTGCCATAAGCAAAATCCGGGGAGACGAGGGTGGTGCTGCTGCCGGTGTCCAGGAGGAAATCAAAGGGGCCCTTCCCGGCAACTTCTAAAGGCAGGATAACGTATTCCCGTGGCTCTCTGGCGGTGGTGGCGAGGCGACGCATGGGCATGCGCAGGATGACGCCTTGGGAGGAAGAAGGGGAGGATGGGGAGGGGGACGACGAGGAGGAGAGAGGTGGAGAGGCCTCTGCGTTTCTGCTGTTGCTACTGCTACTGCTGCTGCTGCTGCTGCTGCTGCTGCTGGTGGATTGTGGAGAAGGAGCAGAGGGTGGAGCTGAGAGGCGATGGGCAACGAGCAAGGAGACCAGCTGGTCCTTGTCAAACACTCCCCGCGTGCTGATGCCTGGTGGATGTGGGTGCAAGAAACGACACGCAAAACGGAATTGTGTACACCAATTGATGCCAGCAGAAAGCAAGGAGAGCAGCTGTCATTGTCAAACACTCCCTGCGTGCTGATGCCTAGAGTGTCATGGCAACAAGCGATGATGGAGAACAGCGCGGCTGTTACAAGGTCAATATTGTCCGAATTCGATATAGGATGTTGGGAATCGAGTGCTGTGCTGTGCTGCTGTTCCGTGTGATGTGTGCTGATCTGTGCTGCTGCGTGTTGTGCTCTGTGCCTGTTGCCTGCATGCGTGGATACTGTATGTTCCCTGACCTAAATCACTTCCATACTCAACACTCCAGAAGCCTGTCTATACCCGTCAAAGGCTTTTCCATATCCGCACAGAGGTACAGGCCTTACCAGGGTTACCACATAATATACCTTGTTCGGCGTACCTAGACGGTCATACCCAGGCTCTCGAGCTCCTTCTTGATCTCCCGCGCTCGCATCGCCTCCACCGCTGCCTGCACAGCTGCGGCTGTAGCGGCTGTAGCGGTCTCTCCTGCTCCGCCTTCCTGGGCCCTACTCTTGACACCTCGCCTTCTCTTGCCATTGCCTGTAAGTTTTGTAAAGGAGGTGGCAGTTACAGAATGGTAGTACGCTTGCGAGCCTCGCACACTTGGTAATGTCGCCGTAAGCGACTTCGCCGGCCATCGTAACCGCGAAATCTGAGGCGTCTGGCGCTGCGCCCCCACGGTTGTCGATAGCCGTGGCTCTGAAGCCGGGAAAGGAATCGTGGCAATGCAGCGGCTTCTTGACGGACACAACGCGAGATCCACGCTCGGGCTACATATGTGGAGAGTCGCCATTCTCTCTCAAGCTACCTCGGAACTTTCAGGACAGTCCAAAGTCGGTCGCCTAGTCCCTCATCAGTCATTCAAATTCATGCCGCTGTACGACGGTTCGCTTTATGGTAAGAGTCTACTACGGTATTTCCTTGCTTTCACTGCGTCGTAGTAGATTGCACTATGGCTAATTCAACGTCAGTATTGACACAGGCTCCGCACACAAGGCACCAGACAGTTTTCAAGCATTCGATATACCTAGGAGGTCTATTTGTCCAAATTCGCGCTCAGCGTTGACTGCTTCAGAAAGGCAGCTTGCCTAGGGCATCAGCACAGCACCCCAACAACTGCAACCCGTTGCAAAACTGGCAATTGCTGCTAATAACTATTCCACTGCACGATGTTATGGCTGCTGAGGTGCTTGCTCAAGCAAAGCTTGATTTGCCAGCTCAGGCGCCAAGATTTCTTGCAGTTGGTTCCAAACAGACTCCACTTGATGGACGAACTCTGAAAAGACGGAAATGCCAACAACACAGCACAGTTGAGAAAACAAGATGATGATTATGTTCCAAACAAATAACAAGCAAGCACAGAGATGCATTAGTTGGATTTCTATCGGTGAGGGAGGACTTGCCTTGAAATGTTGGGTCCAAAATACATGCCTGCAGCGAACTCATATTATATTGGGAGGTGTTAGCAAGTTGAACAGCAAAGCCTGGATTTCCAGCCTACCTGAAGTTGAATGGAAAGTGGAGGCGCCTCTTCAACTGCATGCAAGACAAAGGTGAGATTAGCAAAGAAAACTTATGCACAGCTACATTCAGAAAGACCTTTAATGCTAAAACTCAAACCTGCACTCTGAGGTTGGCTCGGCTGAGTCACGCAGCTATGTAGCTTCGCTTCTTTCTCGTCGTTCATCAATCCCTGTAAGGACCGAAAGGAAAGTGACATGTTTCAATAAAAATATCGAGTACATCATGCTTTCTATATAAATCACGTACCTGAATAGCGGCTGAGAAGGACTGAGCAGCAGCAGCGGTCTCGAATCTCATCATAAACTTCTGCGTCTGAGGTAAGTTGAGCGTTTACTGAGATAGGCTTGTCACATGAGAGTACACGTTTCTTACCTGTGATGGAGAATCTGCTGTGGTATAGCACGCTACGACAACTCTAGAGGGTATAGCCTCGGCAGAAGCTTGTGGCCGACAAATCGGTTGGAAAAAGTGAACTCGTAACACGTAATGTTGCTCCTGAAAGATGGTCACAACGTCAGATTTTTTGCCTCAAACAATTTCAACACCGACGCACGGCGAATCGTGGAAAGTTTTCTCACGTAAGTGACTCCACAGATCAAGGAAATCGTGGAGAGCTTGGGATCAGCACGTTTGATGAGCGTGACCGTAACAAGGTCTCTGCTCTTCAACCAGTGTCCTCGAGTTGGTCTGCCTTTCAGGCCAGAAAACTTCCGGACGGCTGCCTGCAGGAAAGCCGTCTGCGTTGCAACGAACTTACTCAAATGGACTTGCCAGGACAGCGAACCCAGCTCCTCGTCTGGTCGCATTCCGGCCATCTGTATGGTATCGTGAAGAATGGAGGAACAATAACTGCGTTTTCGTGCACTAATCTAGACTCTGTTCCTGCCTCTGACAGAAGGCTGAACGTGCTTGGGCGTGCCACACTAGGAAAATCGGCTCTCCTGCCGCTCTGAAATGGATTGTGAAACCCACGAGCTGCTGCTTCTGAGAGGGTGTCTCAGATGTCAGTCCACGTGGGTCCGGCTCGGACCTGACGGACCAGCTCAAGAACCAGCGCGTGAACCAGGGCGGACCGGGACCAGGTTGCGGGGCTTGTAACCCCGTTATACCGTTCGAATGGCACTAAAACGGTGCCATTTATTTGGCCCTCCAGACCAGCCCGCGCGGGATGCAATGAGTGAATCACACGTGTCGTGTGAGATCGGGGATGCACCAGTATACCAGCAGTGATTGGCTGCCGAGATTGCGTACCCGCGCACAGTCGTTGTCCATGTGCACGATACGTGCTATGGGCATAAGGTCCCTGGAACTGTAAGGTGCTGGAATATGCATACTTTTGCTATATGGTGTGCGGCTTAGGTGGCTATTTCGCTTTACCCGTCCGGAATGGAAACTTCTTTGGGGACGTCGAAAGAACTGCTTGCAGGCCGGTCGCAGAGGCCAAAGCGAACCCCGGAGTATCTCCGAAACGAGCATATGTTGACTGGTAAACGGTCTCGTGAGCCGAAATGTGTGCGGGGGAACGCGGGGCCGTACAAGCGTCCGAGGGTTGCCAAGCAGAAGTGTGTCCCTGTCCAAGGTAGATTGGGGGGGGGGGGTTATTTGCGTCATGTTGTGTTAGATACACTTGTTTTGGCGCCATATCTTGTTGTGAAAATTTCTCTTCCATGTTGTGCTCAACTTGCGCTCAGGAGTGGCTAGTGCGGCCCAGGGTGCATCCCAAGTCACGCCGAATGTGGCGGTCGCGTCAAGCGTCGGCGCAGGTGATGAGGCGGTCGGTAGCGATGGCGAAGGTGAGGCTGCGCCGGTCTGTTCCAAAGCGGTTGCTTCTGTTATAGCAGACGCGCCTGGTACGGCGAACGACAAGGCGGATACGGCACCGCCTCCCCCAGTGCCGGACAACCCTTTTGTGGCGATGCCTTGCGCATCTGCGCAGCAGGCAAGTGGATCTCAACGAGAGGAGACGTTTGCAAATGACAACGTCGTCATAAGCCGTGCCGAGCTCGAGGCGCTGAAGACGGCGAGGGACGACAGCGACCGTCGGATTGCGCGCCTGGAGGCGCTGCTGCTGGCCGCACAGGATCTGAGGGTGCAGAACAAGAGGCCGAGGGGTCCGGGGGAGGAGCGGGCGCGAGGTGATGCGCGGTCGAGCAAGCGTAGGCAGGTCGAATCAGGCTCGGAGGACGCATCATCGGCTGAAGATGATGAGGAGGAGGCGGAAGCGGAGCCCGTGAGGGCACGCCGTGAGCGAAGGAGGCGCCACATGACGGTGTCAAGCTCCCCCATACTTCAGGAGGCGTTTAAACATGCCGGCGGGAAAGGCATGGAAGGTGAGTGACCAGGGATGGGTTCTTTTCTAGCATCCAGCGTCAACGGTGTTGGTCGGATGTCCGCTACGCGGTTCTTTGCGCCTCGAATGTATCCCTGCATTTGAACTCCCATTGTCCTGGCAGAAAACATGCGATCATGCGAGGGAGTACCTGTTTATAGAGCGGGCGAATGATGCAATGACCTTTTATCCAAGCAGCTATGACAAGACCCTTGGTTTATGCTGGGTCACACCACGCCTGGCGCTGAAGTATGCAGGTATCGCACTGGCGGCCGACAAGACGCGTCGCGATGACCTGAACAAGACACTGAGCCAGTGGAAGACGGAAGTCACAGGCCGCGTACGAGACATTGCGCTGCCGCGCATTGGTCTATGGCGCCACGCAAGAGATGCAAAAAGTCCGTGGGCACGCGCAAAACGGAGAGAGGCTGCGGAGGTTCGGCTTCGTTATCGCGTTCTGGACGATGTGAACGGTAGGCGGCATCGCTGTCACCAAACAGGGATGATGTGTGTAGGTTTGTTGACAACGTGTTGCGTTGGTCGATTGTGTGTGCAGAGGATCTCACTCTGTCAACCTGGAGCGAGAGCAAGAGCGGCATGATCTTTGCGTCAGGAGCCTTTACTGCTTGTGCCATGACCGCCTTCCAGCCCAAGAGGGTCACTGGGACTGTGACTGTGAAGCTGTACCAAATGGCATGGCTCGAGCATGTGGTGAGTTGCATCACATGCACCGTTACTCCGACCCGTGCAAGGGACTCATGCCAGTGTGAGACATGTTTGTTGTTACGCGCAGGTGACGGACACGATCCTGAACTGGGACAAGTGCAAGGCCCGCCTGTCAAACTCTGCTGGCGGCAACGCGCAGGTGGTGAACGGGCTCCACGAGGTCGCCGGTGCGGCAGTGGCGCAAGCGATCCAAGACTTCAAGCCCAAGTACGATGCTGATGCGGCGGCGTGGGTCTGGGGGGAGCATGGGCTGATGCTGTCCTCGTGCAGGCTGGAGCACTTGATTCCCGGCCGGTATGCGCAGAGGGCGCCAGCTGTGGAGGAAGGAGCATCGGTTTCCCGTGGTAGTGCCTGATGTTGTGATTTATGCGTGTAGGTAGTGTAGGGTTTGTGGGGTCAGTGTCGTGTGTGTTGTATTATGCTGGTATTGTCGTGTAACTAGAAAATAGCACCTTTAAACGGGGGATACTTTCGCGACGAGGCAGGGTGTGTCATATGAACGCATGTCACGATAACGTGTGCGCAATAACGCGGACAATTCGAGCGTATACGGGGCCCAGACAATCGCTATCCGATGGTGGGCGTAATGCGCGACGCGATGTGATCGACGGGTGGTATTCACGCCGTGTACACCGCGATCGAGCCGCCGAGACTCTAGGATGCAGGCGTTGTGCGGGTGTGCAACGATGCAGATCGAGTGTATTCCGATATGGTAACACTGTGACGAAGTTGCCGATGGTGTTCGGTGTGCGCGTTGATTGGGTGGGGTCTGAGAAGTATGCGGATGACGGCGGGGCCGCGATGGGGCGAATTAGGCCTGCGACGGTGAATGTAGCCAATGACGGGGACGGTGGTGGTCACCGGGTTACTATAAAGCATCGGCTTCATTGGGCGGGGCGCTCGTGCCGCGGCAAATGCGGCCCTTACAGTGGGTTCCGTCGTGCGCGCGCTGGTGTTCGGTGACGTTATGCGATTGGGCGTTGCATGGTTCGGGGAGGCGCGCTAGTGGTGCACGAGGGTGGCCGCGTAGGCTGAACATTGGTGGGCGAATTGGGGTTACTTAGGTGTGTGCCAGTCAACATTTCAAACGTGCGCGAGTATGATTGGTGCATGTTTCTTGGGAACACCGTACGAAGTATGCCACGGTGGCGCCGCGTTGTAACGGAGTTCGGTGCAACCGCGGGGTGATGTTTCCACAACCTGTACGCAAGTGAGCGGCAACCTGTTAGTGACATGAAAGTGGGCGGAAGTTTGCGGAAAGGTGTCTGAACGTCTACAGGATTGTGTCCAAAGAGTTGCGCAAGAGTTGCAGAAATGCAACTTTCTTGCAACATTCTTTCAGCCTTCCGGTGACTCGGTTTTCTGCAACCTTGGTCCATCACTGCCAAGCTGCAAAACCAAAGTATCCAAAAAGTAACCTTTATGCAGATTTTGCGCAGCCAACAGGCAAGTCCTTTTTCGCGATGGCGAGGATCCGCCCGTCGCCCTCCCTTCCCATCGCGTTCCCTGCCTGTCGCCCTCCCACACCCTCGGCCTCCCTTCCCGTCGCCTTCCCTTCCCGTCGCCTGCGCTTCTTCCGATGAATACTACATGTGACCATGGATTGACCGCGCCTTCCCTCCCGCCTCCCTTCCCGTCTCGCACACGTCTCACCCTACTTATTCTCCCCCCACTCCCTCTTTTCCCTCCCTCCGATAATCGCCTTCCTTCCCCCCTTTCCCTGCTTTTCCCCATCCCCTTCCCTACTTTCGCCCATCCCTTGCCCTGCTTCCCCCCATCCTCTTCGCATTCTTTCCCTTATCCCCAGCCCTGCTTCCCCCCCTCCCCTGCCCTGCTTCACCCCATCCCCTTCCCTGCTTCCCTCCATCCTCTTCCCTGCTTCCCCCCATCCCCCTCCCTGCTTCCCCACACCCCCTGCCCTGCTTCCCCCCATCCCCTGCCCTGCTTCCCCCCATCTCATTCCCTGCTTCCCCCCATCCCCCTCACTGCTTCCCCCCATCCCCCTCCCTGCTTCCCCCCATCCCGTGCCCTGCTTCCCCCCATCCCGTGCCCTGCTCCACCCCATCCCTTTCCCTGCTTCCCCATGTCCCATTCCCTGCTTCCCAATGTCCCCTTCCCTGCTTCCCCATGTCCCCTTCCTTGCTTCCCAATGTCCCCTTCCCTGCTTCCCCCCATCCCCTTCCCTGCTTCCCCATGTCCCCTTCCCTGCTTCCCCCCATCCCCTTCCCTGCTTCCCCATGTCCCCTTCCCTGCTTCCCCATGTCCCCTACCCTGCTTCCCCATGTCCCCTACCCTGCTTCCCCATGTCCATTTCCCTGCTTCCCCATGTCCCCCCCATGCCCCCTTCCCTGCTTCCCCATGTCCCCTTCCCTGCTTCCCCATGTCACTGCCTTGATTGCTCTCACTGCCTTGCTTGATTGCTCCCGTCTGCTGCCACCAATGCCAGTGCGCTCCTCGCCCTTCCTGCTTCCCATTTATTCCCGCCCCGCTACTTCCCCTCAACCCGATGCGTTCAGGACAGAGTCTATTCCTCCTCTGCTTCCCCCCTTCCCCTCCACAGTCGAGTGCACATGGTGGAGGGGGGGACAGGGTGGGGGGGATGCTTCGCTTCTTAGGAACATGCACAAGCGATCCGCCTCACTGCACCATTCCCTACCTCTTCCCCTTCCACTACCCCCCCTTCTCCTCAGTGCTTCTTGCCTCACATCCCTCCTGCTGCTCCCTCTGCTTTGTCCTCCAGCAGTCTCGTGGAACACACTCCAACCCTTGTCACCCGTCGCACACTCCTCCGTGTACTACCCACTACGTCTCAGATCACTTGGTCAGCATCTCATCCAACTGTTGGTGTTAGGTTGGAGGGGATGGTACAAAGAGGAGGGGAAGAGCGCTGAATGTGCGATGAGCGGAAGGTGAGTGGTACCACCTCTCCCATGTACCACCTCCCCCCGGTATCACATCCCCCAGGTGCTGCCTTCCCTATTAACAACAACACCGCAATTGGGATCTCCCGCACTGTGCAGCCCCTTTCGTCTGCACCATGTTCTGTTGGTACGGCTCACCTCCTGCTCCCATGCACCACGTGCTGCCACCCAACCCAATAACCCCTCTTTCCCTCACGCACACTCTCGCTGCCAGTCCAAACACATGTCGTGCCCATCCATCATAGCATTGGAGTCAGTACACACCATCACTGCACCTGCACCCTAATACCCTCCTTCCCCTACCCCTCTCCCTTCGCCCCTTTCCTCGCTGTCTCCACACGCCCCCCTCATTCCACGCACAGATCGTGCCCCACGGCCATGACAGATGAGGTCGTGTATGCCAGCACAGGCAGCCCCATGCCCAAGGGAGTTCACTAGATGGCGCACTGGCTGCTCAACATGTCGTTCCGCACCGCACTGCAACTCGGGCGGACCACATGCAATACAGTGCAGCATCCGTTAAAGCCATTCACAACTGCATGAGGTCCACAATTGGTGTTTGTTCACAGACTCACGAGCCACGAGGCCCGAACGTGACAACCCCTTCTTGCTCCCATGATCCCCGCCTGCCTTCCTTCCACTCCTGCATCCGTCGTTCCCCACCCGCCTCCCTCTCTGCCTGCCTGCCTCTTTCTCTCCCCACTTGCCTCTTTCTTTCCCCCACCTGCCTGGTTCTCTCCCCACCTGCATCCCTCCCCCCCATCGCGCGAGGCAGGCATTCAGCAGGTGAAGGGGCTGGCGCTCATAGTCAACATGATTTATCTGCATGGGTATTTGTGTGTGGGTATGTGTGGGTGTCTGTGTGTGTGTGAGTACTTTCTATGCGGTCTGTTATTCTGCATAATGGCAGGGTGAGGGAGGGGGGATGGGTGGACGCTTCGCTACTCTGTAAACTGCACCTTGCTCCCCCTCACTGCACCATTCCCTGCCTATTTCCCCTCTGCCCTACCCCCCCTTTGCCCCTCAGTGCTTCGTCTCGCATCCCTCCTGACGCTCCCTCTGTTTTGTCCTCTCCAACAGTCGACCCCTTGGAACAACAATACAACTCCTCGCAGGCCTCGCACACTCCTCCGTGTACTACCCCCTGCATCTCATATCGCAGCAGCATCTCTTCCCACGGCTAGTGCTGAGTTCTTCGTGTGGTACAAAGATACCGGTAAGAGGGGAAGAGCAATGAATTTGCGAGGAGCTGAGGGATGTGGCACGATAAGGGCATCGAGAGCCGAAGGGGTATCTCACACACCCTCTCTCTCCCGCCCTCGTTGCCCCATTCCAATGTCCCCCTCTGCAATAGATGTACACTGGTTTTGTGTGATAATCAGGAGTACGATTTATGGCAAATTGCGTCTTTACTTGCCAGAATCTTTAGCGTGCTGGTCATGACAATGCGGTGGGAAATGCCAACCACCATGGGTGCTAAAAGATGATGCTATAGAACGGGGGGCTTATTGTTTATACAATGCAGAGAAGATGACAGCAAAAGTGGGTCCCACTTAGCATGCTGCAGGGTGTGCTACTAGTACAATGTGAAAAGGGTCCGTACACAGAGTGTGCCCAATCCAAAAAGACAGGTGGTGCACCAAGTGTTTGTCATAGTCCTTAGTCTAGATAGTTGCACAAGCATATTTTCTGACAAGGTGTGTGCCATAATATGGCACGTGGAGTAGAAAGGCAGCCCAGAGGATAGCTTGCGAGGTTTCATGCCCTCCCCTCGCAGCGCGAAGATGGGCGGACACGGGCAGGCTGGGCGCCACACAGGCCACCATGCCACGATGTGGCGTGTGGCTTCTATGCCATCAAGCTCAGGCGTCTGGCGAGGGGGCGAGGGGAAAGAGGGGACGGGGAGGGGATGAGAGGGGAGGGCAAGTGTGCACGCATGCCATGCTTATCTAGTGTTGACAGCAAAGTGTGGCGATGCAGGGCGTGACTTCTACATGGTCCATCACTGGGATCTGCAGTGGGGCAGTTATGAGCACGCGGTTGAAGGGATGCGCGTTGAGACATGCATGTATGCATGCATGCAAACACTCAGTGATACGCACATGCACGCATGAGCACACACAAGTATGCACGCATGCATGCCCCCACCTGTAGGTCGCACGTGCAGGCATGTACGCATCAAGGGCATGTGGATCCGTAAATACATGTGACCATTACTTTACCCGAGACCTACACATGCATTCACAACCCATCTGCACTACATATCACCGAGAACCTGCACGTTCATGAGCCAACCTGCACATGCATTAGCACATGGTCAAAGGGGTGTGCTAGCAGGGGGAGAATGAACTCGTGGCCGTTGCTGGCCACGGTGCACTCATACCGCATGCGCGCTAGCATCTTCATCGCTACGTTCTGGTTCACCACGTCGTCCTCCCTGCGATTCATGCCATGCACGCACACCGGTTGTGGGGGACATGCAGGAGGAGAGTGGTGAGGAGTGAGGGTGAGGAGAAAGAGGAATAAAGGGAGAGGAGAGAGATAAGAGAATAGGAAGGGAGAGAGAGTGGCGCAGCTTCGAAAGAACAAGGTGCATAGCCATGGCACTCCACACCAAGCCATGGGACCAGCACACTATCAGCACTATGCGGAGGGGGTGAAGCCTCCACTATCCCCACTCTGAACCCAGCTCGCTCCGCTCCACACTTCCCAGCGCCCCCTGCCCCTCTCGCCGCCCCATCTGCCACCCCCTTCGCTCCGCCGGCCGCCCCCCCCTTCACTGCACCAGCCGCACTTCGCTTTGGAGGGGTGTGAGGAGCTTGGGAACGGTCGCCCAAAAGCTCACTAAAGGGGAAAGGGGGGCAAGCGGAAGAGTATGGGGAGCAAGCGCGCGGGGTTAGCAAGGGGAAATGGGGGGGGTATGTTGGGTAGCACCTGAGATAATGCGTGTCGCCTCATAAAAGTGAATTCAATTGAATATCATGTCTATGATACACAAAGGATATTGGCTTATCACGGTCATACCTGGTAGACAGGAGCGAACACATTCACCCTTGGGAATTTGCATTACGTGTAGAGCCACACCTGACACATCAACCACTCGATCAGCCGGACCCCATGTCACCTAGACACATACCACCGACAACAAGATGAATAGATGCATAAGTATGCATATGCGTGCAATCACCAACTAACCGTGAACTTGCAAGACTTCAACATAAAACTAGACAACTCGTGATCATTATGCCAATTTAAGCATACGTACTGAGTAAACTGCGACGTGCCCCACGCCTCGCGTGATGTGTCGTACAGTGTGAGGGCTGAGGCGTGATTGGATTTCGCGACTAACCAACTCCAGAGCCATGGGAGAATCCGGGTGATGTATCGGGGTCGGTAGACGAAGTGCCTCGTGGTGAAACAAGCCCCACCCGAGGGGCCACCGTCTCACTCACGTCAGGGGACAATCCAACGGGCTCCGTAAAATCAATAAACGGTCGCTGCCACCCCTTCAAGATATCATCCACCCAAGTCCAATCCATTGGACCAAGTATTCTATCCCTCCGACCACGTTTCACTCGTGTCGTAAGCCTCACACGAGTGATATATGCCCGTACCACGCGATCCATGGTGTTTTTCCAATGCAGCGCAGACATGGCTATGTGCGCCTTGTAACTTCCTTTGAACCGTATGCATTTAGCGGCATATTTCAGGATGAGCGAGTGGAACGATTCGTTCATTGAGCTGGTTGCGCCCTCCACAATGCACGCAACTTTCTCTGGATTGAAGTGTTTTTGAAGCCACTCTCTCACAGCGACATGGGTCTTTGAATTGGGCTGGTACACCGCACTCTCTTCACCCCAATTTTCTGTCACACATCTTGGTGCACGCATTCCGGTCCTCCAGCATCGCGAATGAAGACCGGCCCAATGGTCTGGAGTTAGACACAACTCCTCCGACACCTCCTCGAGTGACCGAGTGTGCCCGTCCCGAGCGCACACCCCGTTCCGAATCATGCAGTGATAGAAGTGCACTGCAAGCCGATCCGCAACAGTAACCGCTTTCACCCTCGCCGTGGTCTCACTCTTGCCGGCAGCCCCTCCACCATCCCCTTGCCGAGCCCGTCTGCGTGGCGCTCGTCGTCCCCATCTCCTTGGCCTCGGTTCTGCTACATCATTCTCCATGCCACTCTCGGTTGCAATCCCGGCCGCGCCCCGAGAAGCTGAAGCAGACCGCTCATTCTCTTGTTCGTCTGCACAAGAAATTACCAAAATTACACGAGATATCAAAACTCAATATTAGGTAGGTCGATCCAAGACTTGTAGACAGATATGCATGAGACGTGAGGTATCACCTGGGGAGAGAGGTATGTTGACCGGGGTTGGGGGATGGTAGGGTGGGTTGGGGTTGGGGGAATGGGGGTGGGTGAGGGTGGGGGGGTGGTGGGGGGATGTAAGTGGGTGGTGTGGGGGTGGGGGGAGTGGTAGGGGGTTGGTGAAGGGCTTTATAGCGGGGTAAACTCCCCTCTAGTTATTTCAAACCAAACCAAATTTGGACACTCTACCACTTTTATTACCTTGCCCAACAGTGTCGTCGTACAGTGAAGCAGTGTTATGCTCCATCCCACTCCATGCCTATACGAGCACCAGATATGCATGAGATGATGGTCGTATCCCATGATCCGGATGCGCATCCCAGCCCCACATTTCATCCACGTCCGGCCACTGTACTTCGACCGCAGATACTCCGTCATTCAGACCGTTGCCATTCGGTCCTGCATTCCCGTCACGTGGCTCATGTCCCACTGTAACCTCCGGTTCTGGTTCTTCCACCACCTCTGTGCTTGCTCGCGCTGTCGGCTGCCCAATCACTGTCTGGAGCACTTGTTGCAGTTCCAGGTGCAACCATTTAGCATCTGCAGGCTCCATATCCTTGAACTCAAAACCCCGTGCATCACACACTGCCTCCACCAACACCTTCTTTCCACTGCCCCGTCCATACGTCGTTCCCGGGCATGGGTGCTCCCGCAACCACCTTAGCAGCTTCTCGACTATGATTAGGTAGAGATCCTCGCACGTAGTTGCCGCATCGACTTCACCCGCCTTCCTTGTTGCGTCCTGAACATCCGTCTTAAAACTACGCACCAGGGTACCACACTTATGCCACCAATCCTCCTGATGTCTCAGTCCCCTCTCCCGAACAGCAGTCTTGAAACTGCTACCACCATCTGTGACGATACCAGCCACACCAAACCCAATCTCTCTTAGCTCGTCCATACCCTGATCAAATCCCACTCGTTTGAGCTTGACAGACACATCGTCATCCACGTCTCTTTGTGTGTTTTTGTAGAACGCGACTTTCTGAGTTATCGGATCCATGAAGGAAACCGTGCAATGCTTTGCCTCACGCACCTGTGACCACCTCCCGTCCACGCATAAAATATGAGCAGGAACAGGACGCAATGCCATGCGCGCGCGCACCCCCTCCATGTTCACCCTCGCCTGCTCAATGATCACACTCCATAGACCATTTTCTCCATCCAAGCACCTGTAAAATGTTCCATGACCCGGCCTAAGGACACCAAGTGTGCAACACACCTCCCACATGTGCTGATATCCTGACCCTGCAAGCGCGAATGCACCAATAAGCTTTGCCATCATAGGCGGGCTACGGGGACCATGCTTGCTAGGCGGCAAGTCCTCCCTGACACGACTACTTGACCAAAACACCTCACTTGCTGAACAAACATTGCACCTCCACAAAAGCCCCAAACATGCCCATGATCGCTTCCACAACTCTAACTGAAGGCGTCCTTTGCAATTAGTCACACAACACGCCAAAGCCCGATCACGCAAAAAACGACACCATCGACCTTGGATCAAGAAAGCAAACCATGTCAGCAGGAAAATCATCCCAGTTTGGTGGATGTTTCCACCCTCGTGGATGCTTTCGAGGTGTTGGCTGTGCAATTGGTCTGTAACAGTTGAGAATTGAGGCACGATCATGGTGAAACAATTATGAATATTCACACGAGATACTCTGCACAAGCAATACTTATCCATACCTGTTCGAATCCAACGGTGGACCTCCCTGTGTAGGCGTATCGCCATCGCCCGTTCCGCATCCCGCATCAAGACGCACCCAACCAGCTCCTTCACTGTCAACAGCACTCGTGGTGCACTGAGTCAAATGTGGTGGTCTGTTGCCGCAAAGCATGGAAGAGTCATCCCCCTCCGCTCCTGCACACAAAAGCAGGGAATGCACGTACATGTTGGTATCATGGTCCGCCTATCACATCAACCACATGTTCATCATGCATGTCAATAGTTTCTGCGCACCTTCAGTTGGATGGACGATTGAGGCCGCTTGATTATGTGAACCGCCCCTTCCGTTCCCAACAACTCTCCGAATTCCCCCCTTTTTGTTTTTTTCCCACTTTGGAAAGTCAAATTTCACCTCTTTCAACATGCTATCACTACGGGCTAGTAAATTCTCCACTGTCATAGCACCATCCCCCATCCGTGTCCAAAAGGCACTCGACATAGCGCCAAGATGCAATTTCACAACCTCGCCTGCGTCTATTCCCCCGGGTCCTGCACGATAAAAGGGACAATTAGATTGAGATTTGTTTATCCCGAAGAGGTGCAATCCACAACAGACAGAACAATATTGATCATCTCACTTAAATTTACCTGCATCTTGTGCAGCTCGTATCAAACGCTTTGTTACATGGGGTGCGGCCAACATGTAGAGCGCAAGAAGATCATTGAACGAGGCAGCCTTTTCCGTACTTGGTAAAAGAGCAGTTAGTCCCCCCTGCTATGCTGACGCTGGTCATACAATCGGCACAGCTCCGATGGCGTTGGGTCCGCCATCTGTCCAGGTTTCATCGTTCATTCAATGCGTACATGGTTTGGGGGAAAACATGGCAAGGTGGAGCTGAAGATGGCAGGGTGGAGCTGAAGATAGCAGGGTGGAGCTGAAGATAGCAGGGTGGAGCTGAAGATGGCAGGGGGGGAGCTGAAGATAGCAGGGGGGAACTGAAGAGAGCGGGGGAGAAACTGAAGGGGGCAGGGGGGGGGGGGAGGGGGGGGGGAACTGAAAAGAGCAGGGAGGAGGGGGGAAATTGAAGAGAGCTGGGGGGAACCCTCGTAGCCCACACCCCACCAATTCCGCGTTTTCCCCTTGTATCCCGCGCCCCACACACCCAGAACGTGTTTTCCCCTCGTATCCCATGCCCCACACACCCAGAACGCGGTTCCCCCTTGCATCCCGCGCCCCACAAACACCCGATACAATGCCCTTTGCATCCCGCGGCCCACTCACCAAAGAGGAGAGAGCTGGGAGCAGTAGGGGAACTGAAGACCGTGGTGGAGGAGACTGAAAAGAGCAAGGGGGAAACTGAAGAAAGCAGGGGGAAGATCAAGAAAGCAGATGGAAGATGAAGAAAGCAGGGGGGAGAATGAAGAGAGCGGGGGGGGGAACTGAAGAAAGCAGAGGGAAAGAGGATAGAGTGGGGGGGAAACCGAAGAGAGGGGGGGGGAAACCGACGAGAGCTGGGCTCAAACTAAAGAGACCCGGGGGAAACTGAAGAGAGCAAGGGGAAGATGAAGAAAGTAGGGGGAAGATGAAGAAAGCAGGGGGGAGAATGAAGAGAGCGGGGGGGGGAACTGAAGAAAGCGGGGGGGGAACTGAAGAAAGCGGGGGGGGGAGAGGATAGTGTGGGGGGAAAACCGAAGAGAGGGGGGGGGGGGGGGAACCGACGAGAGCTGGGCTCAAACTGAAGAGAGCTGGGGAAAATTGAAGAGAACGGGGTTGAAACTTAACAGAGCTAGGGGGAAAAGAGGAGAGAGCGGGGGGGAAAATGAAGAGAGAGGGGGGGAAATGAAGAGAGCGGGGGGGGGGGACTGAAGTGAGCGGGGGGGAAAATGAAGAGAGCAGAGGGGAAAGAGGAGAGAGAGGGGGGAAATTGAGGAGAGCGGGGGGATAATCTGAATAGTGCAGGGGGGAAACTGAAGAGTGCGGGGGGGAATCTGAACAGAGCGGGGGGGAAACTGGCGAGAGCAGGGGGGAAACTAAAATTGAAGAGAGCGGGGTGTAAACTGAAGAAAGCGGCAGGGGAAATGAAGAGAGCGCTAGGGAACCTGAAGAGAGCCGGAGGAAAGGAAACGGAAGCGTGCAGTGAGGAAACTGAGGAGAGCGGGGGGGGGGGGAAGGGAAGCAGAAGGGTGCAGTGGGGAAACTGAGGAGAGCGGGGGGGGGGGGAAGGAAAACGGAAGAGTGCAGTGGGGAAACTGAGGAGAGCGAGGGGGGAAAGGGAAACGGAAGAGTGCAGTGGGGAAACTGAGGAGAGCGGGGGGGGGGGGAGGAAAACGGAAGAGTGCAGTGGGGAAACTGAGGAGAGCGGGGGGGGGGGGGGGGGGGAAGGGAAACGGAAGAGTGCAGTGGGGAATTTGAGGAGAGCGGGGGGGGGGGAAGGGAAACAGAAGAGTGCAGTAGGGAAACTGAGGAGAGCGGGGCGGGGGGGGGAGGGGAGGGAAACAGAAGAGTGCAGTGGGGAAACTGAGGAGAGCAGGGCGGGGGGGGGAAGGAAAACGGAAGAGTGCAGTGGGGAAACTGAGGAGAGTGGGGGGGGGGTAAGGGAAACGGAAGAGTGCAGTGGGGAAACTGAGGAGAGCGGGGGGGGGGGGGGGGAAGGGAAACGGAAGAGTGCAGTGGGAAAACTGAGGAGAGCGAGGGGGGGGGGAAGGGAAATAGAAGCGTGCAGGGGGGAAACTGAAGAGAGGGTGGGGGGCAAAGGCCCTTACAGACCGGGGGGTTTTCAAGAGAAGAGTGCGCTGCGCGCTTCGCCCTCACAATATGCGCCCCATATGTGCCCTCCACGCTTCCCCCTCTCATTCCACGCCCCATCTACGTGTTATACGCTTCCCCCTCTCATTCCTAAACGCTTCCCCCTCTCATTCCTCAGCCCATATGTGCATTGTGTGCTTCCCCCTCTCATTCCGCAGCCTGTCAGAACTATGCATTTATATGCTCTAGGCTGTAGTGGGGCACTCCTTATGGGGTACAGCCCAATTAGGTTTTGCTATACAACCCCTGTACTGCTGTCATTCTAGTCATTCATTTTCCTACTTTCTGACATGGTTTCAGAGCAGGTTCCCTAGTGGGAACGTTTTTCTTAAGGCCCACCACGATAGTTTTTTCTGCCCTGCCCGAAGCGCGCCTCGCGCCTGCCTCACCTGCGCCGTCGCGCGCCCTGCCCTACTGCCGCCCGTAGCGGCCCTGCCCTCCCGGCCCGTCGCGGCCCTGCCCTAACGGCCCGTCGCGGCCCTGACCTAGCCGCCCGTTGCGGCCCTGCCCTGTCGCCGCCCATCGCGGCCTGACCTAGCCGCCCGTCACGGCCTGACCTCGCTGCCCGTCGCAGCCCTGCCCTGCCGCCACTCGACGCGGCCCTGCCCTCAGCCACTCGTCGCGGCCCTGCTCTACCGCCGCCCCGTCGCAGCCCTGCCCTGCAGCCGCCTAGTCGCGGCCCTGCTCTACCGCTGCCCCGACGCGGCCCTCCCCTGCAGCCGCCTTGTCGCGGCCCTGCCCTGCTGCCGCCCCGTTGCGGCCCCGCTCTGCCGCTGCCTCGTCGCGACCCTGCCCTACAGCCGCCCCGTTGCGGCCCTGCCCTGCCCCTGGTAAGCGCCCGCCCTGCTAAACGCGCCGCCGCGCCCGCCTGCCAGCCGAGCCGCGCCGCCCTGCCGAGCCGTGCCGCTCTGCTGGACCGTGCCGCCCTGCCCTACTGCGCTGCTACTGCTCCTCCTGCTGCTACTGCCTCCATGGCTAGCCCTACTGAACTTACCTTCGATACTGAGGGTCGTGCGGTAGATTTCGAGGTTTGGGTAGATGACCTGCAGCTCTATCTTCAGTGCGACTCTAGGGACGGAGTCTCGCTTTTCAATCACACGTCCGGCGCCTCTGTTGCACCTGATGCCACTGCTGACAGTACGGTTTGCTCGCAGTGGACTACTCGTGACGCTGTTGCTCGCCTTGCTGTTCGTAGTCACCTGCCGTCTGCTGAGCGCGCGCACTTTGGCCAGTACAAGACTGCTAAGTCTATGTATGACGCTGTCGTTGCGCGCTACTCCTCCCCTGCCACTGCTGCCCTCAGCCGCCTCATACTGCCGTACTTGTTCCCTGACCTGGCCGCCTTTGCCATAGTCGCTGACCTCATCACTCACCTCTGCACTAGTGACACCCGCTACAGCGCTGCGCTTCCCTCTGAGTTTCGCGCCAAGAACCCCCCCCCCCATGTACATCACCCTCTTCTACCTTGTCACCCGTCTCCCTGACTCTCTTCGCTCAGTCAGGGACCACTTTCTCTCCCTTTGCCCCACCGAGCTCACCGTTGACCTGCTTGAGGAGCGCCTCACTACAGCTGAGACTAGCAGAGTCGCTGTAGGAGCTTCTCGCGGCGACCCTCGCGCCCCTTTCTTTGAGGGGTGTTCCCCCGTACCCCTTTTGCCCTCTGTTGCTTCTGCTGCTGCTGTCGACCTTGTTGGCACCGAGGAGGTCAAGGCTGCGTCTGCTCCTAGTGGGAGGCGCCGCAACGGCAAGGGCAAGGGGGGCAAGGGTGGTGGAGGGGACGGCGGGGGCGGCGGTGGTGGCGGTGGAGGAGGCGGAGGGGGTGGGGGTGGAGGTGGGGGTGGTGGCGGGAGTGGGGGCGTCGGTGGCGGCGGTGGAGGTGGTGGAGGCAGCGGCAGGGGGGGTGGCGGCGGTGGTGGTGCTGGTCGGAGTGGAGCCGCGCAGCGTGGAGGCTTTGGCGGTAGCCAGCGACAGCAGCAGCCGCGTTCCTGTGAGGCCCCGTCGCCCCAGCAACTTCATGAGTGGTACGCTGGGCGTGGGAGGTCTGGGGGTGCTGGTCCCTGCGCTTACGTTCTCCGCACCAGCGAGCGCCGTGGGGAGACGTGCGGGCTGCCACACACAACGCAGCGCTGTTTCGGTTGCCTGTCTGACGCCTGGCGCGCACAGTTTCCTGACGCCACTGAGCTCCCTCGCTGGGCTGATCTGCTTAAGTCTGGTGTTGCTATCTTTGATCTTGATTACGATGCTATCCTTGCTGCCATGTATGCTGTGACTATTAGTGCTGAGGGTGACTGTTACATGTGTGTGCTGCCCGACCCAGGTATAGAGGCTGCTGCTCTAGGTGCTAGTGAGTCTGCTGCTCTAGGTACTAGTGAGTCTGCTCTCTCAGGTACTGCGCCTGCTGAGGCCTTGCATAGCTTCACGCTTGACTCAGGTGCTTCCCGCTCCTTCTTTCGCGACAGCACCACACTCACGCCGCTCAGTCGGCCGGTTGCTGTCTCCCTGGCGGGCCCCTCTGGGGGCCCACTCCTTGCGCACTCCTCTACGGTTCTGCCGTGTCCGGCGGTCCCATCTGGCTCACTATCGGGTCTTCACCTCCCCTCGTTCTCTACGAACTTGGTGAGTGGAGCTGACCTCCAGGACGTGTGGGTTCACTCCTGGAGGTCAGCGGGTGACCCACTGCACATGTACTCGGACGGGCCGCCACCTGGCCACGTTCACCCATCGGCCTGGGTCGAGCCTGTACACACCGACTACTGAGTCTCCTCCCGTTGCTGAGTCTGGTAAGGTAGCCGCGTCTGGTCAGGTGTTTGCTGCCGCGTCCAGGTCTGGTCTGGAGGAGGATGTGTGACGTGAGGCCCTGCGCGGCGAGCATGAACCAGTACACGGAGCGCGGGGAGCACCTGACTGAATGGAGCCCTACCTGGGACGAGCAGGTAACCACTGCTCCCCTGCTCGTGTCGTCTCCTGTCACACCAGACTCTCCTTTGGCACCACCCCCTTGGTCACCCCTCCCTGCCTCGTCTCCAAGGTATGGCCTCCCGTGTCCTTGTCACTGGTCTCCCCCGGTCTCTCCCTCCCCTCCCCCCGGGGCCTGCCCCTACCTACGTTCCTTGCGTCGAGGGACGGCAGCGCGCCGCTCCTCACTCCTCCGAGTTCCCTCCGACGGAGGCTCCCCTGCATACTCTCCACATGGACGTGTGGGGCCCAGCCCGCGCCCGTGGACAGGGTCACGAGCGTTACTTTCTGCTGGTCGTTGACGACTACTCGCGTTACACCACAGTCTTCCCCTTGCGCCGCAAGGGTGAGGTCACTGAGGTGCTGATCACCTGGATCCGCGCTGCTCGTCACCAGCTCAGCGAGAGTTTTGGCTCAGACCTTCCTGTTCTGCATCTGCACTCCGACAGAGGTGGAGAGTTTTCCTCCGACCTTCTGCGGGCCTTCTGACGTGCGGAGGGCATCCGCCAGACGTTCACGCTTTCGGCCTCCCCACAGCAAAATGGGATTGCTGAGCGCCGCATTGGCATGGTCATGGACGTCGCTCGTACGTCCATGATCCATGCGGCTGCTCCCCATTTTCTGTGGCCGTTCGCGGTCCAGTACGCTGCGAATCAGCTCAACCTCTAGCCCCGTGTCTCCATGCCGGAGACCACACCTGCTCTACGGTGGACGGGGAGGGTTGGCGATGCGTCTGCGTTCTGTGTCTTGGGATCTCGAGCTTTTGTCCGCGATTCTTCCGCGGACAAGCTGTCCTCCCGTGCTGTTCCCTGCGTCTTCCTTGGCTTCCCCCCTGACGCGCCTGGATGGCAGTTTTACCACCCCACCTCGCGTCGTGTTCTGTCCTCTCAAGTCGTCACGTTTGACGAGTCGGTTCCTTACTACCGTCTCTTCCCCTACCGCACTGCCCCTCTCCCCCCCCCCCCACCGCTCTTCCTAGCACCAGGTCCTCCTCCGGTAGACCCCCTCCCCCCTCAGGGTCCTGCCCCCTCAGGTGTGTCCCAGGTAGACCCTGTCGAGCCTATCGAGGTAGCTGTTGACTCTGGTGCTGCTAGGGGTGCTGAGCCTGCGGGTGCGGGGCCTGGGGGTGCTGAGCTTGAGCGTGCGGAGCCTGGGGGTGCTGAGCCTGGGGTTGCTGAGTCTGAGGGTGCGGAGCCTGGGTGCTGAGCCTTGGGTTGCTGAGTCTGAGGGTGCGGAGCCTGGGGGTGCTGAGCCTGAGCGTGCGGAGCCTGGGGGTGCTGAGCTTGAGCGTGCTGAGCCTGGAGGTACTTTGTCCTCTAGAGGTCCTACGGGTGTCTTATCACGGCGGGAGCCCCTCTCTCCACAGCAGCTGCGCGAGTGGTTTGCTCGGGGGGCCTACCGCTAGAGGTGCTGCTGGCGCTGGAGGTACTGCTGGTGCTGTAGCTGCTGGAGGTGCTGGAGGCGCTGGTCCCGGAGGTACTTGTACTGGAGGTACCGGAGCTGCTGGAGCTGGAGGTGCTGCTGGAGCTGGAGGTACTGCTGCTGCTGTAGCTGCTGGAGGTACTGGAGCCGCTGGTCCCGGAGGTGCTCGTATTGGAGGTACTAGAGCTGCTGGGACTGGTGGTGCTGCAGGAGTTGGAGCTAGAGGCGCTGGAGCTGTTACTGCTGGAGGTGCTGCTGGAGCTAGAGCTGCTGGAGCTAGAGCTGCTGGAGGTGTTGGAGCTGGTGGTGCTGCAGGAGTTGGAGCTGGAGTCCCTGGAGCTGGGGGTTCTGGTGCTGTCTTTGCTGGTTCTGGAGGCGCTGCGCAGCCGCGGCCATACTTCGTTCCACTCCTTCAGCAGGTTCTTGGTCTCCCGCCTTCTACTGGTCCTACTCCTCCCTTACTGTGTCCACCGCCTGACCAGTCGCAGTCGCAGTTACAGCCAGCCTCCCCACTGCCTGGTCCTTCTCCTTACACTGGGCTTACCGGAGGTCTTGCGGAGCGTCGTGAGCCTGAGTCTCGTCCTGCGTCGCCTGTTTGTGCTGCTTGCACTGGTCGTCGTGTTCCGCTTCAGCGTCCTCCACCTGTCCCCGGCATGCACCAGATGGCACTTCGTCCTTCCTCT